AAGAAAAATTGCTCTGAGGATTTCAGTTGTGAAATTTTGACTTCTGCTGTTAATAGTTTTAAGTTGTTTTTATAAATTTATATTACGTTATTACATTTGTTTTTGCGTGAAGTTTTTTCTTCAGAATTTTCCTCAAAATGTCAATCACTCGATTAATTGAATGAACTGGGGCTAAAATTTGTCTTTAATGTGTGTAAAAAAGGCCGAAAATTGAAATTAATTTGCAAAAAAAACGGGCCAACAACGATAAGAACATTAGATAAATTACAAAATAGCACTAAGTATGCGACAAAAACAAACAATTATCTCAAAAAAAAAACAAACGAAAAACCGATTACTGCACAAGAAGCCAAAATGACAACATTTTTTGCTCAAGATTGTGTTTAAAATTTCAAACTATTTTCAGACTTTTTACGGACTATTTTTAAGTAAAATAGTTAAACATTGATTTGAAACCGATCTTTCTCGCACTGTAAAAACAGTTTATAAACACTGTAAACTCAGCGCCATAGTGGTTAGTATGGCCCACTATTAGGACCATTTATTGCCAAAAATAACGACAAGGATTGTGACTTTAAAAAAACAAGCTATAAATGATTTCTTTGGGAACTTTTTGGAAGGTTTTGGACAACAATTGAGGACAGGACCCAAAATCAGCCGAGAGGCCATTGTTTTTGGCTTTATCCAATTTGCGATGCCCAATATTGCGTTAGGGTGGAAACTAAATTTGATTAACTTAACCTTTCCACATGTTAGGATCAAAAAGGAAATTTCTGAATTATTTTCAGGTCAATTCTTGTCTACAAAAGCTTACATTTCTCAAGAAAAAATGCACGTATAGAATTATGTTTGAAAAGAAATGCAGAAATGCTTTTTTATTCAGAGTGAAGGTTAGTTAGGAGGAACACAACAAAGGGTGGGGAATAAATTTAACTGAATCCAAATTGTTGGATATGACTAATTGCACTTACTCGAATTGAAGTGCAGCCAGACAATTGAAACTGTTCTGAGAACCCACCAGTCCGTAAACTGCAGTTGCCCTCTGATCTATTTCGATTGTAAACTCGTTATTAGCGTTTCCGGAACCGACGGCATTGCCAGCAACCCACTGGTAATAGACGGAACCATCTGCTCCTTTGTAGCCCAAAGCCACTCCGCTCAGACAAGTGTCTCCTGAAGTGTAGTTATTTAGGATCTACTTAACAATGCCCCTACTTGAAAGAGATGGAGATTAATAAGTAGTTTCAATCAGCAAAATTTCAACCAATCAGAACGCAGGAAAAATAAAATTTTCACAAGAAAGATTTTTAGCAAATTAACTGTTTGTATTTTCAGGGATAGAGACTTTATAGTAGATACCATAGATTATGGGTGAAGGGGAGGGTGGGAGAATGTTCAAGCTCTAGAAGATATTAAAAGCTACAATTTTTGGTCGCTTAAACCCCAGCCGAAGTATAAATAACCTATAATTAATTTATCCAAAAAAATTCGGATGAGTTATTCGCAGTTTGATTTGGTCGGGAGGGGGTTCCTCTCTAAAAGAATTAGCTGCCTTTGTAATAAATTGTAACTCTCTACCAACCTAAAAATATTGGTCAAAACCTTTCAGGCAAAACGTCATTTTTGGCAATTTTTCACCAGAATTTGCTTGCTGTGCAGACCATTTAGGCCAAACAGGAAGTTAACTTTCCGTGAGAGCTCAAATATTACTGTTCCGTTAAAATACTTCTTTAAAGCGGTGACAATTCTCTACTTGGACCATAGGGGGAGGCCAATAGTTAAAGAAATCCGATTTTAGATAAACTTGACTGAAAAAGTTTATATGTAGTAATATTTGATGTGTGTCTGCGTTTGTTATGATTTGTTGCCAATCTTTTGATAAAAGGGGTGAGCCAACAAAGGAACTGAATTTTTGCGTAGATAAAATATCTTTGTCTAAACTTCTTAAGTCGATAACCTGTGAGCGAAAAAAAACTAAGCGGGAGCGAGTGTTTTGGAGAGTTAACTTGCGGGCTATGTCTCGGGCGACTCTAATTCATCTTCTATTTTCACTATGGGCTCATCTTCACCTGGGGTTTTCCGTCAAATAGTGACAGTGTCCTTAATAGTTTCGGTTTGATACATAAATCGATCTAAATCACTCGAGCTTCAAAGTGATTGTGAAGGGGGTCTAGTTTACCTGTTGAACTCTGGTACATCTTGGCCTCGTGCGGGTAGCCGGAGAAACCATCGTACTTGGGGTAGTTGTTGTCGTTGGCCTCGTAGTGGAAGAAGTCTGTGTTGGGGAAGAAGAAAGACTGGGAGCTGGGGCCAGTGGGGGTCATCTGCATAGAGGTCACAGTCGACTGAAGTTGAGTAGCCTCTGCTGTCTGCTCGAAAAGGATCTCAACTGAAACACAAAAGTTACACTTCCGATTTCAATGCTCTTTAACACCCCCTCCCCTCCCCTCCCCTCCCCTAGCCCAATTTCAAACCACACAATTTCTACTTTTAAATCTTTTCAATATCTTTAGCATAACTTTCTTGATTTGTGACCAAAATTACAATTTTGTTTCATGATTTTTGCTACTTTAATACACAATTATTTTTTAACACAAAAACTTTCAGAGAACAAATCCTTATCACACTTCATTCTTTCATCCCAGCAATGTGTTTGCAGATAATGTTGCAAAGGTGAACTACTGTGCGAAAATAAGTTTCTTCTGTTTAACACCTGCCAACCCAAAGGGTCGCCACTTTGTACTATTTGAGATTGGCTGACTGACCCTAAAAATTTTCTAAAGGCGTCTTGGCCGCCAAAATATACAAATTTTGAGGGAGGAGCGCGCGCCGTAAAACGCGATTTTTTGGTCGAAATTTTCCAAAAAGTGCCTTCTTGACCTTTTTCAAAAATTCACCTGCGGCGCAGAAAATTTGGTCAAAATGGGGCTTTATAGTGATTTGGGAGAGCTCGGAAAATCATTTGGTCGACCTAAAAATAAGGTCGACAAAATTTTTGATTTTTTTTAATCTGCCCCCCCCCCCCCCCCTCGAGAAAAACCTCGAGAAGTTTAGCTCAATAATGTGTGCGTTTAGCTGGAAAAAAAATATGAAAAAGCAGACACCTGCACGTCATCGGGTTGCCAAGATCTTACAAGATAACTCATTTATGTATAGTTAGCGTCTTACCGTCCGGAAGAGATTCGAACTCGATCTGCTCGTATGAGTCACCATCCGCTTCACAATAGTATCTCACTCCATTGGCTGAAACATTTAAAAAATATTATAAACACTCCATTGGCTGAAACATAAAAAAAACATTATAAAAGAACTTAATCAAAGGTTAAGAACATGCGGACTTTGTACTTTGTACCTTGAAACTAATTTGTCCCCTTTTGTAATATGGGGGGATACAATTGTTTTGTAACACAAAAACTTTTAGAGAACAAATTTGTTTTAACACTTTATTCTTTCTTCCAAACAACGTTTTCGCGGAAATTGTTACAAAAAATTTCCGCAAAAATTCAATGTTGTGTACTAATTTTTAAAATTTAGCAATAATTAAAAATAATCTTAATTTTCCTTAAGTTATTATTTTAGATTTCATTGTAGAAATCAATAACATGCAGCATGCATGATCAGCATACTTGATGTTGTAACTCAAAAATAAGACTTATCGGATCTTAACATGTATGAAGATATCTATTCAAAAACATCGGTTAGAGACTTTTCTGCCCACCCACTCGAATTGAAAAGTAATGCGTGCTCATTAAGTTAATGCTTAAATTTGACACACTTGGTAGATGCATGAACGCACATTTGTTGTCGTAACCATTTTTTAATGGTGTATGCTATCGATAAGAAGTTTAATAACATGCATAGTATTTACCTAACAACAGAAAAGAAACTAACAAGACTGCGCTTAACAGGGCGGAGTTTTGAGTACACGACCATCTTTTAACATCTATGCGCAGTAGTTTTTGATAAAATATATCTATTAAACTTTTTGGAAATTGAAAAAGTTTTAAAAAGATGAAAAATTGTGCAATGTTAAACACGAAATCATGTCTTTAACATCTACTAGTTTATTAGCAAAACTGCTCGTATCAGAGCAAGGCCCTGAATGCTTAGAGGCTCTTTATCGTCTATGAACTCATTTTTGTGTCGAGTTTTTTTCTACATTTTTAAAAAATATTTCGCCCTTCACGCTATGCTAAGTAAGAAATGATGCATTTAGCATTTAGTAAGATTCTCATATTACAAAACAGACAAAATTCAATTTAGAAAATTTTCTGAGTTGATTATATTGCCGTTTATGCGTTAATATTGCGAAATATATCAATAGTATTTATCCCAAGTTGACAAAATTGAGAATCCCAATATATTTTTTTGAAAATAAACCACACAAAAAAAAACTTTTTAAATTTAAGCTCAAAACGCACCTTCCATATGACATACAAATTTCAGTTAAAAACAGTTAATAGAAAAATTGCAATTGGTCTTAGAAAACACGCCGAGCACAAATATTCCATCCTCTCTTCGAAATCCGGAACAATGATACTTGAGTTTTGAACCAAGCTGCAATGCAGAGTTTCCAAAACGAATAAACAAATAGCCCTGGGTTGTTTTCAAAGTTTCAGTTTAAATTACATTTCTCAATTAACAACCAAAAATTGTATACGGAAAATTACATCACATCAAAAATTTTGTCGACCTTCTTTTTTGGTCGACCAAACTGATTTTCCGAACTCTCTCGAAGCACTACAAAGACTCTGTTTTTTCAAAAAATTTGCGCGCCCCAGGCAATTTTTAGGTAGTTTTCGGAAAATGTTGAACAAAAAATTGCCTTTTTTCTTTCGGCGCGCGCTCTCGTCAAATTTAGTATAAAGTGGCGCCGAAGGTGGATATCTCTAATTAGTACAAAGGGTGACCCTTTGGGTCGGCAGGTGGTCGAATCCTTGAAGAAAAGATCCTCTGCAAAACCCACCCACCCCTAAATCCGCCACTGTATCAAGGCGAGGCTCTGGATGTTCAAACTAACATTTAATATCTAAGAAACATTGTTCGTATGAAATGAAAGACGAAATTTTCAAAAAAATTTCAGTAAAAACTCAGTACAAAGTGATTTTTTTGCATGCAGCAAAGTAATAATTAGACAAGTAACAGGTGTCAATTTAATTTTGCGATTCAATTTTGAAAGGTTTCTAAGACGGCTTAAATTTCCAGTTACGCTTTAATATCACAAAATATATTGCGCTATTTATCCCAAATTGCTCAAAATGACAATCTTAAAACTCCCATAACCGAACTGAAACTAATCACAGGTAAACTCTGAGCTAATACTTGAGCTCAGAGTAAAAATATTTTTCGAATGATATAAAAAAAAAATGTCAAAAAATTTAATTCCATAAGTCGAATGTGGCCTGGAAAAACACCCTCAGCAGACTTGTTTGAGAAACGACGCAACAGTAACATTTCAACAAGTCATTTATTCTGATATGCAATTTCAAAAAATGTTAAATCTTAAACTTTCATAATAATCAAAGAGCTAAATTATTGCGTTTAATCATTTTTACGATCAATTTAAGTCATTTTTTTGAGTCGTGGATTATTTCTGCTCGGGTGGTTTTTTCTTCAAACATTGTTTTTAACCAGCCAGTTTTACCGAAGCTTTTTGTACAAAAAAAATTGGTTCATTTTTGAAAATTTATGTCATTGAAAACTGGCAGTTGAGCCAATCTGTGGTTATCATAGCGCGATATATTTCAAACAATCAACGCGTAAGCAGGGATTTAACCCGGCTCAGAAAATATTCAAATTGAGTTAATCTAAGCTTTTTTGTCTCAATGATACATTTAGAGATATGAAATTCAACTTTTTTTTGCTTCTTTTCTTCGCTTAGATGCCCCCTTTAAAACATATTTAAAGTTCCCCTTTTTACATTTTTACTTAAATCCCTTTTTACTTAAATACATAGCGTGTTAAAGGAATATTTAAAAAGATTTCTTAAAAACTATCCAAAATTTTGATTTTTTAAATTTTTTGAGCCCAAAATTTATTCAATAGAAGTTAGAGGGCAGCCAGCTTATTCAAGGCTTCGTCCAGTTACAAGCAGTGTTCTTTGTTTTTCATTCAGTTGCTTTCTCTTTTTTTTCAAATCACGATTTAGTTCACACAGGCAACCTGCTAACACTTATTTACTCTTGAGGTTTCTCAACTAATGGGCTACATGTAGTTGTGCCCGCGCATGTGAATAGTAGCTCAACCATTATTGTCCTGAACGAACTTGTTATGATTAAATATCGAAATCAAAATATTCAAAATCCGACCATAACAGATTGTTTTTGCACAAATGGCTCAAAAAACCGCCTCAAGGTTGAAGTGGTTTCGAAAAGCGTCTCAACTGCTCGAATATTGCTTAAACATTTCTCGCGTCGGGTTTTTTATCATCAATTTGTTCACTTCAAATGTTTTTACGTGAAGTGAATGTGTCGGTTGTGCGCTGAGAGGTGAGGTTGACACCTGTCAGACCAGTGACGTCATAGAACTCTCCCCAGAACTCAATGGTGTAACCCCGCTCCGCCTGCAGATGGTACAATTTGGCATGCACCACTGTAGCCCTAGAAATATGCTCAGTGATAACAATAAAGGGAAGGGGACGGCAAACTTATTGCTTTAGAAACTAAATTTGAGTGGGGGGGGGGGGTTGTTCATGGCAGAAAGACCGAAAAAAAATTTAACCAATCAAAATAAGACTTTTACTGCCCAAAATTGTTGCGTTTTTATCCGAAACTGTTCAATACTGTTGCGATCCGTTGCGTTTTTATCATATCATAAAATATTGAAGTCTGGTTGGCAAGTATTGTCATTAAATCCTTCTGCCACGAGGCATGGAGCAAGAAATTGTAAAACTTTCAGCTTATCAGTTCCACAGAAGGTACTTGAAAAGTTCAGAACTTGAAAAAGGTGGACAGGCAAAATTCAATAGACAGTTGAGGGGGAGGTTGTGAGGTGGTCGCCCCTTAATTCTCTAGCGTGGATTCGACAGGATGTTCTTGCCTGCTGAATCCCCCGCTGCCGGTGGGGGGTGCGAGAGTGAGTCCGTAGTTCTCGTTGTCCACCAGGAAGTAGCCGCTGATGTCCGCCCGAATCTCGTCATAGTCTGCCGGGAGGTAGAGCCAGAACTGGTACTGGTCCGCGTCATTGTCCGAGTCTAGAGATAATTGCATCACATAATACGTGCAACCAGAGTTGAGGGGGAAGGGGTGTAATCCCCTCGTTAAGTTTCATTGTAACGGTTATTATCATGGATTACTCACTCACTTCAACATGTATGCATTAAGTTGTTGTTCATTTGAAAAGTGACTAACTTATGTCGAAGAAACTTCCACCGTTGATCCAGTTGTTGGCAACATCTGGCACTGGGGCGTTCACGACGAAACAGGGCCCAATGGCCTCTGAAACAATAAGATTAAATTGAATACAATTGTTCGAATATAATTTTGAAGTAATTTTTGATAGACATTAACCTTTGATAGACATTAACAAACCAGCAAATGATCTGAAGTACCTTCTCTGAAATTGGATCTACTTAACAATTGCCCTCCCTTTGGTACCTACTTGAGAATTGCCACCCCTATTAATAAAAGCAGTAAATTAGCGCTAGAGCTATGTATTGAGGCTTCTAATTTTGCTGCCTGATTGGTCGAAAATGCGTTATTTTAATCTACTCAATAATTGCACCCCTTTCTTAAAAGGGGGTAGGGGGTAATTGATAAGTATATCCCTGAAATTCTCAGTTTTCAATTTGAAATAAACCAGTTTTTCCGGGTCTGAAAATATGTATTCGATGACTCACGTCCATAGGTAGCAGATAGAGACTGCCCCCCTCCACTGAGATCGTTGATTGACAATGTCATGAAGTAGGTTTCAGCAGGCGCTTCGAGGATGTCTGGGGATGGCAGATTCGTGTCCCCGATGGAATAAGTCATCTGACCATCCCATCCCAGCTGGATTCCTGCCACGTTATTAGCAGAAAAGTAGACCATGATCTGCAACAAAACTTAAATGTCAAGATTATATGCAAAGAAAATTAAAAAATAATTTTTTGAACGGCGGCGGATTTCAAAAACAGTAACTGCCTACCCTGTAAGTTTTGTAATTTTCAACTTTTTAAGGCTTGAGATATTAAATCTTTTTTTTTGAAATTTCATCTTCAGTGACACTCAGAAAAATTTTGGCGGAGTTTACGTCAGTCATTTTTCGAAATTCTCCTGAAATCCTAGAATGACTACATTACTAAGAATGAATCCCTTGACAGTTGGAACCCTACTGGGATCCTTGACATCTAATGTTTTTTTTCGAGGAGTGGATTGAGAACCGGCTAACCTGTTTCAATTTTCAATGAGACCCTATTTAAAGATTTTTGCATCCAATCCCTTTCACCGTGCCTTAATTTTGCTAGTTTGACAACCTTGATATTAAGTCACAGACATTTTTTATAATCATTTAGATGTTACGACCACTGAAAGTGGGGAGGAATTATGTCTTCCAGTGTATTTGAGTTTTTTCTGAATTGTGTCTTTGGCTTGTAATAAAAAAGTAAGCATTTATTTAAGCCGCGTAAATTTGGTTTTACTCAAGTAGAATTAGCTTTAGCTTTTGAAGTTTTTTAGCGTCATCTTGAGAAATAAGTTTTTCTAAAAAAGTTCAGAAAAATGTTCCGCAAAAAGTTCGTTTTTCTAGTAGTTTCCTATTCAATGAAAAGAAAATCAATTTAAAATTATTCAAAGAAAACTGTTCTGGAATTTTCCTCATTTCATGTGACCATCGGATTCTTTTGTTCAGATCGTCTTTCGCACTACGGACTAAGAAGGACTCAATTTGAACAAAAAATTATTTTTTTGTTATTGTGGGCGGAATTCTTTGTGCTACTTAGGCAGCAAATAGCTATCCTTAATAAAGTGTCATATAGTTTGTAGACATATAAAAGTTGCAGATGTTTTTCTTACTGTGTTGATAGCCTGCGTGATGGGGGTGAAATCTGTGTCTGATTTTGCAGCTAGAGCCCCGGTAGACTCCCCCAAAAGTCCGTCTATGAAGAACTGACCCCCCTCCAGATTGGGAAGATAGGATCGCATGTACTTCTCTGGGCATTCATCTGCCACACTCCCCACCCAGTATTGAGAGGGGGTGGTGTAGGTAGTGGTAGTGGGCGTTGTTGACGTACTTTCAGAACCCATGTTTTGGTACCCGTCTGAAATTAAACTTGATCTTAAATCAATCTTACATTTCTCAACTAATAAGTCAGCCGAATATTGGCAATTTTGAAAATATTGAGTATTGACGATGGTTATTGTCACTTTTTCCAAACACTTTTCCATGTTTATAATATGCGACCTTTTTTAACATGCAGCAAATAAAATGTGCTTTAGCAGGAAAAAAGGATGAAAAAGCTGACGCCTGCACGTCAACGTGTTGCCAAGATTTTACCACTTATATCATAAAGGCAAGAAGTTTGCAGGATATTACAAGATATATAATTTATTCAAGAATCTTACAAGATAATGCAGAACACATCATTTGAGCAAAAACCTTAGAAGACCTTACAAGATAGTTGGGTTGTGTACTAACAAGACCATGCGGTTATGGAGTCCGAGTTTCCGGAGGCATACTCCCAGGTGCCATCGTCCGAATACTCGTTAGTAATGGTGACATCCACGTCCACACACCCACACACAGTGTCGATAGGGCCCACTGCTATCTCCCCTGTGTTGCCGTTGTTGCCGGCTGACCCACTAGAGAAAAAAAACGAAAAAGCATTGAGTTTGAATTGTCAACAAAGTATTGCGTTGTCAAAAATGTTTTGTGTTTGAAATAATTTTATGATTTGGTTTCAGCAAATACAAAAACTACTCGAATAGGTTTTAAAGTGGCGTGCGCAAAAATTTTCTAGGACGGATTTAATCGCTCTTTAATTGTCACAAATTGACCAAAATGCCAATCTTTAAACCCTCATAACTTTACGAAAATTGATCACAGGTGAAATATCTTTTCAAATTTAAGCTCAGGGCAACAATACCTTTTGAACTTTTTGAATGACATAAAAAAAATTCGTCAAAAATGGCTAGTTAAAAAGTCGAAATTCGTCTGAAGAAAAAAACCACCCCGAGCACAAAATATTCCGTTACTTTCGTTACGAAAGTCGGAAGAACAAGCACACTCAATCAGCTTGGAGCAATATCAGGGTCGGATTCTTTGCCATTTTCAAATTTAATTGCGCTTTGATTGTCCCAAATTGGCTATTTTCAAATCCCCATAACTTCACAAAAATGATCACAGGTGAAATGTCGATGATCTTGTCGATGGTCTAAAATTTTTCCGTCAGTAATGACAAGTTAAGAAATCGGAATGTGTCTGGAAAAAAAACCACTCCGATCACAAATGTTTCTCATTTTGTCGGCAAAAAAAACATCTTAAACAAAATTTTTTTGTTCGTATTACAAAAATTGTAAAATAAGCTTGAACTAAAAAGGAGAATAGGCAAAATAAAATTATGATTTTTCCAACAAGTGTTCGGAATCCACTAAGTTGTATGGCAAGCTCCACTACCGTAAGTTTCGGAAACACATTATGTCTAACCATTCCGTCTTTGGAAAAAGTTAACGGAGTGTTTAAGCTAACGGAGTGTTAAATTTTGTCAAACATCCTGAGCTTCAAATAAAAAAGATATTTTAGTATGGGGGAAAATAAAGCTTTGCCCTGGTCCATGCAGTTTTTGTCATATTTCTACAACTTCACTTGAAAAAATTCAGTTGAGACTTAAAAAACGACAAGAATATAAATTTCAAAGTTAAAAAATTTATTTTGGCAGCTGGCCACGGTTTTTTTAGATAAAGAACACAAAACACGAGAATTTTTCCCAAAAATAACCCCTGGAATGAAAAAATCAACAAAAACTAAATATCAGGATCAAATATTTTTTTCTCACGATATAAACAGATATTCACATCAGCACCGAATTAGGTGGGGGACGGGGAGCGCCCGCCGAAAAAACGCAATTTTTTGGTGAAAATTTTCCAAAAATTGCCTAAAAACATCTTTTTTTCAAAATTTTGCCTAAGGTGCAGAAAATATGGTCAAAATGGGGTCTTTAGGTCTTAGAGTAATTTAGGAGAGCTCAGAAAATCAATTTGTTCGACCTAAAAAAAGGTCGACCAAATTTTTGAAATTTTTTCAAAGTCCGCCCCCCCCCTTAGCGAAAATCCTAGATCCGCCCCTGATTCACATTGTAATATTATAGTGGCTTGGAACAGTATTATATTATAAATTCTGATTGTCATTATTATGATTCAAATCAAAGGGTGACTGTAAGAGAGGAAGCACTGGCTCTCAGCAGACCTGGAGGATGTGGAAGTGGTTGTGAGTCCAGAGGGGGATGAGATGCCATTGGTCCTTGAGTAAGAGTAGGAGAGTGAGGAAGAGAGGGGCCAGAAGGAGTTCACGTGTAGAGTCACACTGTTGTGAGTGCGAGCGTAGTAGTAGATCATCGGCTGCATCCGCTCTGCAGAAAAAAGATGAAAAAATTAAGAGCATTTAAGAAGCTTGAGGTATTTTGAAATACAAATGATTGGTAGTCATTAAAGGTTATACTGGAAGTCCGGAATTATTTTACTGTTATTGGATCTACTTAACAACCTCCCCCTCTATTGTATCTGCTACAGAATCTCCACCCCTGTAAATAAAATCAGTAAATTCGCACTGAAGCGTTGTATGTAAGTTCGAATTTTGCTGCATTCTGATTGTTCGAAAATTCGCTGCAAATAATCTACTTAACAATCTCTCCCCCTTTCTCGAAAGGGGGGGGGGGGGAGAGATTGCTAAGTAGATCCCTGATATTTACTCCATTACTACTTTAATATTGAAAACAATGAAAAAGATTCCCCCATGAAAAAGATTCTCTTTTTCTTCCCCCATCCCACCTGCAATTTTTTATAATTAAAATTACTGTTTGCATTGTCCGATTGTATGAAAATTGACATTCAAATAAATTAGGCCATGACAAACATTTTTGCTTTTCATCAATGAAAACGATTCTCTTTTTCTTCCCCCATCCCACCTGCAATTTTTTATAATTAAAATTACTGTTCGCATTGTCCGATTGTCATGAAAATTGACATGCAAATAAATTAGGCCATGACAAACATTTTGCTTTTCATAAATAATTTTGTAAAACCACTCGCTAGACCATAAAATTGATGCTCATATGAGGTGGGGAGAAGGAAAAAGAGCCCCTGTCGTTCCAAAGGGTCCCCCTTGGGGGCTCTTTTTCCTTTCCCCCACCTCACACAAGCATCAAATTTATGGTCTAAGGGGTGGTTTTACAAGGTTGAGTATGAAAATCAAAAATGTTTGCCATGGCCTAATCAGTCATTTTTCATGACAATTGGACAATGTGAACAGTAATTTGACTTTGCTACTGCGGGTGGGGGGGGGGAAGGAAAAAGAGCTTCCATTGGTACTTTTTAAGAAATCCATTTTTGGCCGATCGACCCTAAAATTTTTCTAAAAGCGCCTTTGGCGCCAATATTTACTAATTTTGTGGCGCAGAAAATTTGGTCTATCTACGGTCTTTATAGTGCTTTAGGAGAGCTAGGAAAACCAATTTGGTTGACCTAAAAAAAGGTCGTCAAAATTTTCGACATTTTTTTGAAAATCCGCCCCCCCTCGAGAAAATCGTAGATCCGCCCCTGCGTGAAATAGTACCCATGCAGGTCGTTTGCACGAGGGACAAACATCCAGTTTTAAGCCTTATTAATCTATTATTTCTTGATTTTTTTTTATTACAATTTTCTAAAATTGACAAAAAATCGATGAAAAACAATTAACTTTTGATAAAAAAATTTTGTAAGCAAATTATTTTTATCCCCTTTTCATCATTTTTGTTACGCTATTTAATCCATTGCAATCGATTATACTCGAATTAAATCTTTTAATCTCTTTTATTCGCCTATGTTGTATTTTCGCATCCTGTACCATGAATTTAAATGGCTTATAATTTATGTTTTCAGAACTTAAAAATTTATGTTCAGAACCAAAAGATGACAAGACATCTAAACTTTTTTCAACGGAATCGGCCTCTTTCTTTCCACCCTAAATTAGAATAACCTCCTTTGCCTGAAGATTGGGATTCTTTAACTAAGATATCTTCAATTACGTCTTTTCTCCCAGCTTCTCCTTAAATCCGTTACTGAGTATAGAGGCTTTTTTGTAGCGAAAAAGAAGTTTTTTAATAGAAAATGCATCTGAATTTTAATTCTAAATTGTATTTTCACTTGTCCTAAATTGAATTTCACAAAAAATTACCAGGGGCGGATTTGCGGAGGAGATAGCCCTTTTCTCAGGGCTTCGACCCCCTGCCGACCCAAAAGGTACTATTTTGTACTATTTTGAAACATCCATTTTTGGTGACGGGCCCTAAAATTGTTCTTAGGGCGCCTTTGAATAATTTTGAGGTGAAAGCGCGCGCTGAAAAAACGCAATTGTTTGGTAAAATTATTCTAAAAATTGCCTAAAAACGCTTTTTGGCCAGTTTTTTGGATGCACTTTGCCTTCGGCGCAGAAAATTTGGCAGGACTTTTTAGTGCTTTGGAAGATTTATAAAATTCAATTTGGTCGACCTAAAAAAAGGTCGTCAAAATTTTCACACATTTTTTGAAAATCTGACACCCCCCCCCCCCCCCGCCCTCGAGAAATTTTTAGATCTGTCCCTGATAAGTACATATCATGAGTAATCAGTTACATACAACTAATCGCTTGCCACAGACGTTATTGCTCATGTAATGACGGCTATATTTTGTTGTGGGTGATATGTTGTTGAAAAGAATTGTTGTTTTTTGAAAACTTACGGTACTCCAGGGGTTGCAAGACGAAACTACCACCAGTCCCATCTGTGTATCCAACCAGACCCGCGAAAGCATAGCCAGAAGAGAATGTGAATACAACCGGGTTAGTAGTGCATCCTCCAGATATAGTTGTCGTGGTACCGCCCACCGGGGTGTGTACGATTTCCAGACCGCAAGTGGACCCGACAATGGTTCCGCTCAAATTTGTGTAGTAAACAGTCACTTCTTGAATGTCCAGAGGGTTGAAGGAGCCGCTCGAGGCTGCGGTTCCTATAGAAACAAACTAAATTGATTATTGATCTCGAATTAGATTAAGTACTTCAAGCTCACAACTGCTCATTTTTAATAAATACATTCAAAAAAGAGTAACCGTTTGAGGCGCAATAAGCACAGAAAGTTCCAAAACGCAAAAAACAATCATAATTGACTGCAGATGTATTTAAAAATGAACAGCAAAATAAAAAATTTAAACATTTTAATTTTTTTGCACATTTTTTTTTGAATTTATGAAAGTTTTTAATTACAAAGAAAGGCTACCTGAGTTTTTTTCATGGAAAAAAAACTAATTTTGCGAAGTAAACAGTAGAAAAAAACACTCAAACATTCCCGAAGCCAAAGTCCTTCCCCCATTTTCATTGGTCGGAAAAATAGGAGTAGCTGATCGTTGTGCGAGAAGACATTCTCTACCAATATATGTCCTTCAAAAATTCCAAAATGTCTCATTGAACTATGCGAAGAAGCGAGTGCGAGAAAAAATTATAACAATCAATGCGTGTCAAAAGGCCTAAAAACATCATTTAAAATGCACAATGATGCGAATACGAGAAGAAATTCTCAACCAATCAAAGTCCTTCAAAATGTCCACAACTGCATAATCTGAGAATGAACAATGAACAATGACAAAAATTGACAGACAAAGTTTTTGCACATCAATTTTTTGCGCATGAGGGGGGCTCACTAATAAACTTTAAATAGCACTAAAATTAGGCGAAAAAAAATACGAAAACACTTTTTTGAATTTTTCTGCACCCGCCGGTTTTTGCGGCATACGCGTTACGGGTGAAAAGCCTTTTAGTTGAAATTCAGAGTGAGAGCATCAAGATCTAAAGGGCTAAAGACTGAGATTCAGACTGCCATTAGATGTGGAATGGAACTGAGAAAATAAAAAAGTTATTGTTTTCAAGTTTTTGTTGAAAAAAAATTGATAAATTTGAACAAAAAATGACTTGAGAACCAAGGCCTTACAAGAGAATTAGTTATTTATTTGCTGACTAGTGAATTGTTTTTTATCACTAAATGACCCTGTCAATGAGTTTATTCAGATTCGACAAATCGACTTTCGAACAGAATCACTTCAGTATATTGTCTGACCCTGGAATAATCTGACCTCAACACCCTTGCTCACACTGAATTAGTTTCTTTCAAAGCCAGGCTGTAACTAAACAGTATTCGATTATTCTGATCGACTGAAGCCTTGCTCAGGGCTTTTGTTTACATAGGCTTCCTTGATTTCGGCAGGTTAACGCTGGAGTTGTACTGACTCATCTTTAATCCTTTCTCGAACAAAATGGTACTTAACATCCACTTTCCTCGTTCGATTCTGCTTAGCAGTATTTTTGTACAATTTGATGCAGCTCGGGCTGTCTTTTTTGATGAATGGTGGTCCGTTGCTCAATACCCTCATGTCATCGAGAAGTGATTTCAGATATACAACCTCTTGAACCGCTGCTGAAACTGCTTGGTACTCAAAATTACCGCCAGATATGGTTGCCAATGGTTGCTTTTAAATACTCCAATTGATTACAAGCCGCGCCTTCTTGAAATCAAAGCTGTAGCCAGTAATTGATCTTCTAGCATCCAAATCTCTAAACAAGTCACCTTCTGCGAACCCATAGACTATGCACCATCAGCGTCCTTTGAGTAGCACAGCTCCAGAATTTTGCTTCTCCTCAGGTAACCAAAACTCCCCTTTGCAGTCACCCAGTGCACTCTGTCAAGATTCTCAAGAAAATGGGCGAATTAAATCACAGTAGCTAAAATGTTCGGCCTTGTTCGCTTAGTTTTGTACACTAAAAAGGCTACACTGCCTCTGCTGACTCAGCTTCAGGGCAGTCTTTCTTTGACAGTTGTGAGCTGCTATCTTCAGGTGTCCCAACTGGTTTGCAGTCAGGTAGGCAATAGCGCTCCAAACACTCATCGATACAGCGCGATTGATTAACAGTTACCTATCCATATTACTACTAGATTTACACTCCCGAGAACCAGGACAGTGAGCCTTGATTTTCTCGGTGAAACGGCTTCTCGTCATGTCAACCTTCCCCTGAAGTCTGCACCCAATAAAGATGTTATATTTCCAAACCAACACATAAAACATTGCATCTGTTTCCCTCACCATGAACAAATAGAAGTGGTTGCTGCTTTTTATGACCCGTTATCGTGTATGAAGTTGTTCAGCGTCTTGTACCAGTCTCTTCCTGTCTGCCGCGGCCCAATGAGATTTCGTTGTAGCAAGCACACTACAATCGTGTATGAAGTTGTTCAGCGTCTTGTACCAGTCTCTTCCTGTCTGCGGTGGCCCAAACTGGCTGTTGAAATCCTCTGGTTGCTCCGTGTACATTGTCGCTTTAGGAGGAGAGTTAAAGAAGCTTGATTTGACATCAATCGGATGAAGCGCAAGATCATCTTTTTCCCTCAAAGCCAAAGATAACCTCTTCTGTTCGTAAAAACAGGTCATAGTAAACGTCTCATTGAATTCTAATCCTTCCACCCAAACCAGTACATAAATCACTGCATCATCTGTTCCTGTCATCGTAAGCAAATAGAAGTGTTTGCTGCTTTAAGTGACCCGTTATCGTGTATGAAACTGCTCAGCGTCTTTTACCAGTCTCTTTCTGTCTGCCGCAGCACAAGGAGACTTCTTTGTAGCAAACACACTGGTTGCTGAAATCCTCTGGTTGCTCCATGTATATTGTCGCTCTTAGAGGAAATTTTAAAAAAGCTGATTTACCAACAATCGGATGAAGCACAAGATCATCTCATGCCTTCAAAGCCAAAGATAACCTCTTCTGTTCGTGTAAACAGGTCGGAGCAAACGTCTCACTGAATTCAAAACCTTCCAGTTGCCAAACCGTTTTTTACATATAAACTTTCCCATTATCCTAACACATTTCTCTACACGGAAAAATCCTAGCGTCCAGGAATAACGCTGCGGTCTATCAATAAGTGTTCACACTCCCATGGCCTCTAAATACAACACATCTGAAGCCATGGGTGCTAGCCATGGCTCCTCTTTGCGTCAGTCACTGTTTCTGAATAGCCCCTCAGCCCTTGGATTCCAATTGCTCAAGTTTCCATCCGCGAAATTGATATTCAGTATAATCAGAATGTAGGCTTCCTTCTCGACTGGTTGCTGCTAAGCAGCTCCTGCTGTATCTGCAGTATCACCGTAAGTTGATGCGTTTAGTGATTCTCATGTGCTCATCGTATTTGATTTCTTAGAATCATTGCACCCTTTGATTGATAACTCCCCAGTGTTTGCAATGATTTTTTCTCAAATGAGAAGCTATCTGAACTATTTTTTGTTTGTTTTTCAAGCTTTTTGCTTGCATAACTTGCCTAGTCTATCGATCCAGCAGCAAAAACGCTTCGCTCTTCAACACAGCTGATGAACTGGCTCTGCTTACCCTTTGGATTTAGTTTCCGCCTGTTGCATCGTTCCAGATAGTACGTCAGGCGTCCGGATACAAGAAAAACACTATTTTGTCGATCTCACAAAAATCATCTCCTTCGTTGAAATCTGCTACTTGTTGCCGGATGAAAGGTTTTAATTGCGAACCTTCAGAAAAATTTCAATAATTTTGCACAACCACTGGAAATCGATTCAATGCAATGAATTTACTTTTGTAACGTTTTGCTACAATTTTCTGCTAAGCTTTATTGGGAAATGTGAGCTCCTGTTTCACCTTGATTTCTCTACAAAAGTCCCTAAAAGCGTTTGAATGGTGTGTCTCTCCAATGTCAATTCACAGCCACTACGATGCTACATGCTCAGTTTCAACTTCTTGTAATTTCAGTTAAACCAGGTACTTGACCTTTGGGAACCGCATCAAAACATCAATGAAGCTTAGGTGTCGCGCGCTCCATGCATGACTGAAACTTTGAATGGTCCCTGGATGTCACCTAACATCCGCTGCCCTATTACCAATTTTCTGTTGTCATTCTTATTTGGCACTGCTAATTGACTCATCAAGCAAGCTGTACTCTAATTCATCCACCGTAATAAGTGAAAAGTACCCTGGTTGTTGAGGTGCCCCAATCGTCGGTGCATCAGCAAAAGACTCCTTTTTTTTCGTCACCAAAATTATCCTCCTGAGATTGTAACTCAGAAAAATTATGTCAGATATCTGTTCACCGTCCACTACAACTATATGAGAATAAGGTGCGGCGAAATTGAAAATTGACCATCTAGCCACCGCTGAGCACACACTCATCAGCTTTAAGTTATAGCTAGGTATAAACAACACATCGAAAAATGTGTAGCTTCTGGCTTCAGCTTGACAGTCTTTGTTATCTATGTCCACTGATCTCTTGCCCTTAATCTTGACAACGTGCCCATTGGATTCTTTAGAGGTCCCTTTTTTTTCTACTCACAAAATCAAAAAAGCCAGCTCTGTCACATTCCGCGTCACAGGAGCAAGCTGAATCCAATATGAGGTCAGCTCTTTTCATTGAAGTTGCTATACAGCAACTGAAGAAGCTTGTCTTTCATGTTTACAGTCCTCTGCGAAGTATTTAGGCTATTAACGCTTGAAGCACTCTTGAAATTCTGCACCGACTCACTTGCTTTGTTTGATCCACTGTCTCGAGCACAAATTTGTCCTCTTTAATGTCTAAAATTGAATTCCCTTGCCACATGTCACTTCTTACAATTGTTTTATCTTTCTTTTAGATTACAGGACTAGTTTACCATGCCAGGCCATCTCCCCAAGTCAGACCTCCATGAGTCTTCGTAGTTCACCATCCGCAATCTCAGTTCCTAATTTTTTTGGATGACTTTTGGCTGGTTGAAAGCTCGTTTACACCGTAGAAAACTCATAGCTGTCAGTTAGCCCACGATCGCCACAGCATCAAAAAAAGCTTCCGTGGTTGCTTCTCTAGCTTCATTCAACTGCTTCTTCAGCTCTAAGCTGCGAATGGAGAAAATTGAAATCCTTCTCTGATCCTAGGCGCTGCCTTACAAGCTGTCCTACTATACTATTATTGTCGACCTTTCAACGCTGCAAAATTTCTCTTGAAGCGGCTAATGTGCCTTCGTATCATCGCCATAGCTGTCTGTTCTCACACTTATGTTTTCTAGGTACATCAAAGAGGTGTTCTTTAGCACCAAAGCCAGGTGACTTCACACAGTTTAAATTGTCTTGACTATCCTGGATCAACACTGCTCTTAGTCTCCCCACTGATCAGCATCCGGAGTTTCAGGGAGTTTCAGCATCCGGAGTTTCAGCGTCATCCTCTTGCCGATCGTCCTTTTTGATCACTTTTCTGAACAGGAGCTTGAACAAGCTCCATTAAAAAAGCAAGAAATATTCAGAATTTCCTTCCTAAACAGCTATTTTCAAGTCGGTAGTCGTTAAAGGCTGCAAACTGTATTAAAAAAAAAATCGGAGGGTAGAAAAAAAAATTAAAGATAATGGGTCACAACCCTTTAAGCATCAGATTTAGAGCAACAAATTTTGAACGGGCTAGAGACTGAGATTGTATCTTAAATCTGACCAGAGGATAGCGAAGAATTGTTGATTGTTGAAGAGTAAATTTTTAAAGTGAAGTAAAAATGACTCGACAAACTAAGCATCACAACAGCAACAGTTAGTAAACTACCGAAAAGTTAATTAGGTGGTGCTCAGTTTTTGATTTTGTTCGGGTTTGACTAGTCGACCTTCAAACAGATGCACTTCAATTATTTTGTCTGATTTTGGAATAGAACAACCTCAACTTTTTTATATAATATCTCACTCAACTCCCTGAAAATGTTTTGGGCAGTCAAAATTAGAAGATAACAATTAAGATACGCCACAGTGCTTTCTCACCGTATGGGAGGGGTCGGAAAACAACGAATAAAAAACATCAAAATTTTCATTTGTGTTCATAAACTAATTCAGCTCTATTTTAATGATAGCATATCAAAAAAAATGAAATAACTGCTATGACCATGAAAATTTGTTGAGGGAAAACGAACAGCCTTGCTATTGATCTTCTGAAAAACAGAACAACTCATATCAGGGAAAAATCATTTTTATCGCGACTTCATTTTGAGAGACTTGCGTCAGACTGTCACCAGATCTTACTCAAGGAATTGATTCAACTTTCAAGAAAGTTATTCAGTAATAAAGAATGTTTCCGATGGTGAGGTTCTTCTCGTCCAAATATTTTGTCAAATTGCTGAATAAGTTCATGTTTACTGCCAATATTACGTCAAAACAAGGCTTGAAGTCGGAACAAATTCAAATTTTTATAGTTTGATTCTCAACCTTATTTTTCAAAATAACATAAAAATAATTTATTTACAACAAGTTTTGGCCGCTTTTTGGCTTGCTGCGAATTTTTTTCGTCTTGTTTCTGAAATGGATGCTCTGTTCATTTGAAAAATGAACAGAGCATTGGTTTCTGATCATTTTTCTCTACTCATTACTCTTTCCAATTTTTCAACTCATGCCTTATAAATGTTGCTGGTCAAAATTGTACAGCAATTCGTTTGTTTTTTAATGGAGAAGTTTGATTTTCCCATCCCAAATACTAAACATTTTTTTGAAAGATTATTCGACTATTTTTGGTGCAATTTTGAGCGGTACAGTGTTGTAGGTATTTGTTTGTGGAATCCAAAACAGCAAAGAAGGTCAATAAAAAGTATCAATGTTGCGGGCGGATCCCGCGGCGAATCTGATTTCGGACTGTTGCGGAATCTGCTTGCAATGCACAGAAGGCACAGTTTGGCCTCGTAATTTTCCGGTGACTATTCTTGTGTTGATTTTTTTTAATTCTGGTCGCGTTTCTTAACTTTGTGTTTAAAACTGGTTTATCATAAGAAAGGTACCACTTTAAACTATTGAGCCTGTCATGTTTGGTCCAAAATAGGCAGTTTTTATACGGAACTTTATAGTATTTATTTTGAAATGTTCCATCAGTTCTGTATTTTTTTTTGAGTCTAACTCAGAATAGAATACCTCCCATTTTTTAAAGTCTTGAAAAAGGTCAAAATAAAACAAAGTGTTCGAATGAATTTTTTTTATGAATAAATTCTCATTGAACCAGAAACTAACCCCTTGCTAGCAAACTGAGCATGTCTATTTGCCTATTACTAGATTAAGTAACATGTATTCTTTGTCTGGAAAATTTATTACCTGATACTTGTCCGAAATTTGCATTTTGTGAACCCGATCCAGTGACGCTGTATGTGAGCTGCACGCCAACCAAGTCGACTCCACTTTCGTACAAGTTAACTGAATTCAGAAAAAGAAAAATAAGGAAATTATTGAAATTCAAGCGAAACTACATTGGTTTGAAGACCCATTTCAGGTCCCATTTTCCATAGGCACACACACTGGCTTACGTTCAAATAGAGTCCCTAACCAAATTTTAGATTTTCGAGAGAGGATTTTTCGAGAGAGGACGACAAACTGATCTGGACAAAAGTTAAGATATTGAATAGAAGTCACTACCTCATTTGATATTTTTGAAATCAAATCTGGTATTGTGCAGAAAATAGATGGCAGACGAACGTAAGATGTCGCAAAAATATGTTGCTGTTTACATTTTTACTTTCATCCAATCTTTTAGTGTTTTAGCTTCGAAGCGTTCGTAAAGTGTGCAGTGAGTCTTTCTTTGACTGCGACTTTCGCTTTTGTCGCCTATTCAATTAGTTGTTTTGCCACAAAAACAAAATCTAATTTGAAATTTTTTTGTCAGTTTGTTTCATCATTTGTTTTTCCTTTCGAAGGGGTCGTGAAAAATGTGGCTTCAGTTTGTTCATGAGCAAATTATGTTTTGTCGCTTACCCGAAGTAGGTCGCTGAGTGACCCCGAAGAAGTTCCCCTCGCCTGTAATGCCCCCAGCATTGAACTCATAGCTCGCATCAGTCAGACTGTTGCTCGAGTAAATGCTGTCATTCATGAATTTCAATCTGCGTCCCACTGAAATATTTTTACCATTAGCAAAACTTCACAAATGGTTTCAAGTTGATTGGAATTCTTTGCTTAATCTCGGAGTAAAAGGACACGTTGACATGGGCGTTTGTTGCCTTGATCTTATTTTGTCCGTTCGATATCAATTTTTTAAAACTTTTCAAAGTACCGGAACAGAATGAAATTGAAACAAGATCACTTGAACAAAAGCTCTTCTTCCTCAGTGAAAAGAATTAAGCGGAGTTGAAAGGGTCTGTGAAAAAAACAAGCTGTTATTACCAACCCACGTAGCAGTCTTGGAAGGTCCCTCCTTCACCTGCGGCGATTCGGAGTCGGTTCGGATTCGAACCAGTAGCCACAGCCTCGGATGATCCGAATAGGTACTGACGAACAGCCGCCAGCTGCAACATTCCCAAGGTAGCCCTGCACAGTTTCAGGTCGGGCTGGAAGTAAAATCAAAGGTTAATTTCAAGTATTTATCGTTTGTGATACAGGTGCAATAAGGTTACCAGAAGCTTACAAAAATATAATTCTTTATAGTATCAGTTATCCAAAAAAAGATATTGTGATAAGAGAATGAACCAATTTAAGGAGCCAAGCCAAGAGTAGTACGGAAAACTATCATGGAAAACATTAAAGTTCTCTCAAATCATGTCTTAGTGCAATAATAGTAACTTAATTTTTATCTTTGTCAAAAACATTTTCAGTCTCTACACTGCCTGTAAATTTTGAATAATATTTGTTAATTCAGGAAATTCAGTGTTCTTTTTTTGCTATAAGACTTCTCATTTCCTAAAGTAACAAACACTCAAAAATGATGAAATGTTCACAAAATCTAGATTGAAACAAGGATAGCCGGTTACTGTGCAAGTAGCACAGAATGTTCCGACCACATTCTTAAAAAAACACAAAAATGTTTTCTCAAATTGGTGTAGTTTTTTTTCTGCAGTGTAAAATTTTTTGAAATTATTTAGTGTCGTTAAAATCACGACTGAAAGGGCTTTTATATGATATATCACTCAACCCCCTTTCGATGATTATTTGTGGTAGCTGATTTTGCGTGGAAGACAAAAAGTTGAAAAAAGAACTAAAACAGACCCGATTACAAGTTCCTCCCAATTTTCAATAGTCGGATCAAAAAGATAGCTTAAGCCATCTAGCAGTTTTTTCATTGTCGCCGTATCCCCCTTGAAGAAGTAACGGCTCTTTGTTCTCCTCCGCCCCTTGTTAGGTAGCGATCATTTTTGTGGAGTTTAAATTTTCTGGGGGAGTGACGAAGTTGCAAAGTATCTAACTTTCAGTCAAAAGGTTTGGCTACTAGAAGTCGTGGCTACTAGAAGTCGACAATGAACTGCGCTTGTTGCTTCAGCTTGTTACTTAACAAAAGTACACATCCCATGAAAAACATAACCAAAAAGTGCATCTAATTTTTAGCCAGAGACACAAGAGCGGTTCTCTGGAAAGAGCGGGACAGCTGGTATGTTTGCATGTTCCTCGTGGATTAATTGTCTGAAGTAACTAACCCAGCACTCTTGCTCCCGATTGGACTCGGAAGATGCGGAGTTCATCGAAATGGCATACAAAGGGGACACGTCAGTGTTTGTTCCAACAGTCACTTTAATCACAGGGTCAGAGGGTCGACTCCCGGTGGCGACATTGCCACTGTAAGCATACATGATCTCGCCAGCCGCAAAGTCAGTCACGATACATTCGGCTATGTCTGCAAGGAAACAAAAGCAAAACATTGAGTTTACTAAATTTAAAATTAGAGTTCAACACGGGGACATAACTATATAGGCTGAAACGCATTTTATTTTCCCGTAAAACAGTAAAACGAACCCTACAGACTTCTGACCTTAGTCGCATTATCTTGCCAAGTTTTCCAAAACAAGTCATCGTGTAGATCTTGGCAAACTGCTTGATTGAGATAAGTACGAGAGTTAGCTGTTCGAGAAATTTGGATATCTTGTCAAGATCTTATTTTACTTTGATAACACATCCATTTTCATTTGGATAATCCAAGAGTATAAGCATGATTCAGGGGAACCCTTTGGCAGGAGGGAGGGAGGAGGGGGTTGCAGCTGCTAACAAGATATTTTGAGTGCTTTCAGAAGAACAAATAATTTTGCATGGAAACACCGTTTCCATAGATAGCGCCATTAATGATGCCACGTATGATTTGTGCGGTGAAAACTTTTCAAATTTTCTCAATAGCATTCGTATAACTACAAAGAAAATAAATTTTCCCAACCATTCTATTATCTACAAACCTATTTTGCGGGCTTTCAAAAAATACTTAAGAGCGGCCAGTGGTTAGTCATTTTCCATATAAGCCATTTATGGACGTGTAGGGGGCGCATTGTCTAAAAAAAGCATGCTGAATTCCTTTTTTTATAAAAAAGTTCAATAGTTTAGCAAATCCAAAGAATTTAGGAGGCGAGATGGGTTTTCGCTTCAATTTATGCTTCGGTTGACAATAAAATACATTAAGATTTTTTTTATATTTCGCATTCAATTTTTGTGTAAGGGTTAGAAGATTTCTTACCTTGAGCTCCTGAGTTCTGAATCATTGCCAGAAGAACTAGAACAGCAGCTGCCCTGAACTTGAATTCCATAATCGGTATTGTCTGCTTTCACCACCACCTGGAATAGTTTTAAGAGATGGTTTAATCAACATATTAAGATCACGAGAAACGTCAAACGTACTAATTACCGCGAGGCAGAACTTTAAAAAACCAATGATTACAGCTAAATGTGGTTTATGTAAAACTGGATGTTCTCCATAGCCAGCGGCGGGTATAGAATTTCCTTGATGAGGGGGTCGGATTTTCAAAAAAAAAGTTTTCGAAAACCTTGATGGTGACCTTTTGTTAGGTCGATCAAATTGATTTCACGAGCGCTCTCAAAGCAGTATAAAGACGCTATTTCGACAAACAGGTCTGCGCCCCTTGTTACTTCACCCCGCTCGCCTCCCCCTTAGTCTACTTTTTATTATATCATGAGCTGAAATAACAGGTACTAGGGTAATAAATAGCCAGCCAGACTTACCTTCTGAAAAAAATGTCAAGTTAGTTTCGAGTAATGAAAAGGCGTTTTTACTGTCAAATGAAGACTAAAACTCGTTCTGTTTTTGTTCAAGCCTCGAGCCACGCACTATCACCAAACTATCGCCAAACTCGCGTCTACTGTCATTCTGTAGTACAAAATCAATTAGCTAATTAAAATGTAAGATGGCCAAAAAAAAGTTACCATAAAAACCACTTTATGAGCGATCACAAAAAAGCATGAACACAAAAGTAAGCAACTTGTAGTTTGGTTACTATTTTTCATGTTTTCGTTAAGTTTAAAAGACTTTCTGTTCAAGACAAACGCGAGTTCGTGTTATTTTTCTCCGTGGAATGTTTCTGTTAAAAATTGATACCGGAACATGGTATGTGAAGAGGAGGAGGGGGGGGGGGGGGTGGTGGGGATCTGGGTAGGGGGTTCAAATCTAATGAACTGTATTTGAACGTCGAGCTGCAATCAGGAGAAATGTCAAAACTGAAAGAAAAAAGAATTACATCTGTGTTTTCTCACAGATGTAATTCTTTTTTCTTTCAGTTGTTAAAAAATACAAATCAGACATTTTGCAAACTATGAATGAACAAAAACATGAGCAATCCAAGGTCTTCTCAAAGGGTTGAGAAAATTGGACTAACCTTTTTTTCTCTCCAAAAACACCATCAAGACTCTTCTTGACACAATTTTCTGCGCCAATTGTTTTAAAGATTTTCAATTAAAAATCTCATTTTTTCGATGCGCCCTCTGCCTCAAATTTTTATATCTTGGCGCCAAAGGCGTCTTTAGAAGAATGTTCAATTTGGGTTGGCCAAAACTGTATACTGGGCAGTTCTTCGTAAAATTAACATTTTTTTTTCGAAATTGATACAACTTTAAGTGAAATGATGTTGTGTTTGCACACGTGAAGATGCACGTGAAGAGCACTCAAAACAGTTCAAAAAAATTGTTCTTTCCAGGGGCGGATTTAGGGGGGGGGGAGATGGAACAGGGGGGGGGGGGGGGGGAACGCTCCCTTTCTCAGGGTTTCGACCTCCGGCCGATCCAAAGGGTCCCCCTTTGGTACTTTTTAAGAAATTCATTTTGGCCAACCGACCCTAAAACTTTTCTAAAGGCGCCTTGGGCGCAAATATATACTAATTTTGAGGGGGAGCGCACGCCGAAAAAACGCGATTTTTTGGTCAAAATTTTCCAAAAAGTGCCTAAAAACGCTTTTTTTGGACTTTTTTCAAAATTTTGCCTGCGGCGTTGTAAATTTGGCCAAAACAGGGATTAAACCGTGCTTAGGGAGAGCTCGAAAAATCAATTTGGTCGACCTAAAAAAAAGGTCGACAAAATTTTCCAAAAATGTTTCGAAAAACCGCCCCCGCTCGAGAAAATCCTAGATCCGCACTTGGTTCTGTCCGTTTGTATTTTAACTGCTAAGCTTGACTACAAGTTGCTGAAAACATAATACAGTATCAGATTTTCTAAACTGAAAATCTAAATAAAAATGAAACCATAAATTTTGAAGCTCAATTCATGTTTTTCTTTCAAGTTTGGGAAAAAGCAATCAATCTAAAAAACATGGGTTTATACAACAATCAAACAATAGCCCTTCCATAAAAGCCCTTAAGCTCAAGACACCGATAATCAGAAAACTTTACATTGGTTGTGTATTTTTTTGACCTGGAATCACTTGAAAACGAATTTGAATTCAATTGGCAAAAAACAAGAGAAGGTGTTCGTATTAAAGCAAAGCCCTGAATGTTCCGACTGCCCCTCAAGATCTTTGTAGCAGTGTACGTTTTAAAAAATGGATGAAGTTTCAAAAAACAAAAATAAAAAAACTGATCTCTATTGAAATGTTTTTGAAATCCACCACAAGCTTACGCTTCAATAGCATGAAATTTATCGCGCGTTTTTAGTCACACATTGGCGATACTAATCACCGTTAATTGCCCATAACTTTCTAAAAAGTTATAGATGGTAGTTTTTTAAAATAAGTTCAGGACAACAACACCTTTCGAATGATATTAAAAAACAATCCGTCAAATATTTTTAGTCGAAAAGTCAAGTTTTTTTCCTGGTTAAAAAAATGTCTGTTTCAAAACTGAAAAGTGTGTTTGAAGGAAAAAACCTCACAATGGATCAATTACAGCACGCTAAAAGCTTTTTATTCCCACTTTCAAAGAAAACGGAAAATTTATGCTCGGTGTGGTTTTTTTATTCAGTCATCTTTCACCGATAGAAATAAAAGTTTTCAACAAAATTTTTTATACCCCATTAAAGATATCAACTTCCTGAGTTCAAACGTAAAAAGATGTTTTTACCTCCGATGATTTTTTGTAAAACTATGGGGGTTTGAAAATTGCCAAATTTGCCATGTTCTAGACTAAATTATGCGCGCTTTGAAGAGTTTTTTCATAATGCTGAGAGCGTAACACGAATTATTTATGTGTGGCGAATTATCCTGCACACCAAAAATGTTCCAAATTGAATTGAGGCTAGCTAATTGGTCATTTTAATTTCTTACGACTCAAAATTTTACACATTGATTTTGTCCAAAATGTAAGGTTTTAAATCTTTTGTTTTCCCAAAATTTATGCGATACAAATTGAGGAACAGTCGGAACACTCAGGGCTTTGCCCTGATTTACGAGCAGTCTTGTTCAAGCATCTATCGTATGCAGATTGACATTTTTGGCAAAAACGAAAATCCTTCGAAAAGTTCTTTAAGTCATGTAGATTCAGCAGGCCGCGATCAGTCAATAACACGAATTATTTATGTGTGGCGAACTATCCTGCACACCAAAAACGTTTCAAATTGAATTGAGGCTAGCTAATTGGTCGTTTTAATTTCTTACGACTCAAAATTTTACACATTGATTTTGTCCAAAATGTAAGGTTTTAAATATTTTGTTTTCCCAAAATTTATGCGATACAAATTGAGGAACAGTCGGAACACTCAGGGCTGTGGTTTCAGAACATTGACTGATCGCGGCCTGCTGTGGATTCAGCAGGCCGTGATCAGTCAATGTTCGTTTCAAAGTTGTTGCAGGCCGAGAGTTACATCGTCAGGTCATTATCGCGGCGAGCAGTGGCTCATTCAGGTCTGTTCTATTTCTAATTGTTTTTGAAAAACATAGCTGACCTATATTTCCAAATATGAGTCAATTTGTCAAATTAAAAACTATTCTTTTTAGAAAATGACAAATATTTAGTTTTTTTTCCGACAAACTGAGAATGCAGCTCTATGGGTACGCATCAGAAATGAAAAATTGAAAGAAAAAATTTAGAGAAATTTAAATACTTTTACTTTTTTGATAGCTTTGTTCGACAACTTTTTCTTAAGCTTTTAATTTGATTAAATTTTTTTTATTTCTTTTTTGAAAATTAAGAAACTTATCGCATGCAGTCAGACAATTTTCTGTAACTTAATATAAAACACCCATTCCTATTTGAAACCTAATCCTTTCCTTACCTAAATGTTAAAAAAATTAACTAACAAATACGTTTCAATTCCTGAAAACTTGTTAACTTCTTGGAAAAACCTGTTTTTTTTGTAATTTGTCGTTTTGACAAGACAGGTATGAGTAAAAGTGTTCGCACTCTCATCTTTTCGCTGGCTATGTGACCAATGGCATTGATAACATATTTTTCGAAATGTTGAAAACTGGTTCGAATAATGATAATTTTGTCCCATATAAAATTACGGAGCTAAGATGTCTTTCGTAACCGTCAAAGAGAAAACTTGGTCGAAATTTTCATGCCTGTTTGGTTGAACTGGTTGCTAAAAAGTCTATTGTTCCTACTTTCAAGGAAAGTTGTGGAATGTTTGTGCTCGGGTGCTTTTTTTTCTGTCGGACAAATTTAAACTTTTAAGTAGCCATTTTTGATGGATTTGTTTTAAATCAGCCGATTATATTGAGCTGTAATTAATTGAATTGTAATTATATTTAACCCGTTGTCAAAATGTTTCCAAAATCAATTGAGGTATGCTAATTAGTCCATTTAATCTTTCACCTTATCCAATTTATATGGTTATTTACTTTTCATAGAATGTAGGGCATGATTTACCAAAAATATTAATTGCTTCTCAGTTTTTTTTATTAAGACCGTTTCTCCATAGAGCCTAAAGGCCGTCAGAACAGTCAGGATTTGGCCTTGATTCGAGCATTATAGTTTTTATTTGAGCAAAAAAGTTTTCGTCCTTTGTTGTTGAATATCTATTACCATGCAGCAAGCAAAATTCCAGTCGTCCTGAAAATATTAAAAAATGCCGACTTTATTTCAACGAAAAACAATTTTTTCGTTTTGTTTTTAAAATGACCACATCAGATATTAAAAAGAAAAAGATCTCAAAAATTTCTCATACGATTCAAATTTCAATATTTAGTTTTTGATATTGATACTGGAAAACCTATATTTTACCAAACATTTTTATTTACATCGTGTCAATAATAAACCTAGTTGGCATTTTCATTATTCTGTGACAAAGTGTCGTGGTGGTAAACTTAGCAGTTTCGACTATCATGTTAATTGACTTATGACAAGAATGAAGGTATGCATTTAACGCTATTGTAACCAATTTAATAGCATGGCTTTTTAGCGATGTTACACAACCAGTTTTGATGAAATCTGCCCTGCCAGCTTTAATGTTAAGATAACTGCTTTTTTGAAGGAAATCCAATTTTCAATTTAGCATTGTATACTATGTTGTTTAGATACAATAGCATACGCAACTTCGAATTACTTAATGGATTTAGCTACTGAAGTGAATTAGTTAGTCTAACTATTGGGCCTTTTCAAACTTAAAAGCTAGAAATAATTGCTTTCATAAACGAACCAGAATATTGGGTACTAGAAACTAACTTTAAAACTAGTTTAACTGCTGAAAGTTTAATGGTTTTGGGTTATCAATTATCAACAAAAATTAGAACGATTTTTAGTGACTGCTAGGCATTAAAAAGTACCTTCGCAAATAAAATTCAAGAGATCGTTGTGTTTCGGCATTGGGCGATTAACTTGTTATTAATGGGATTATAGAGCCACGTTGTCAGTCACGGGACTATCAGTCGCTTAAATGAATCTGTTGGGGATGATATCAATTTTAACTATAATAGATGGTCTCGTACTCTCTCTATCGGTTCCGATTGTAAAATTATTCTTCTTTTTCTTGCTCCTCTTGATCACTTCCAA